TGAGCGCGGGCAAGCGGTGAGGGGCGGGCGGCGAGGGGCGCGCCGGGGGCTGGGGGAGGCCGCGGGGGGAGCCGCGTGCCGGCGCTGAGCGCGCTCCGTCCTCAGGAAGAAGAAGAAGGCGAAGGAGAAGGGTCAGATCCTGGAGCAGATCGTGAGCAGCAAGAAGCAGGAGGAGGAGAAGAAGCGCGGCCTGGACAAGCGGACGCCGGCGCAGGTGGCCTACGAGAAGATGCAGGAGAAGCGGGTAAGGCCGCGCCGTGGGTAGGCCCCGAGCAGCCCCCAGGGGCACCCCCGGGGCAGGGGGGAGTGAGTGCGAGGGGTAACGGCTGCTCTTGTGTCCCCGCAGCAAATGGAGAGGATCCTGAAGAAAGCCTCCAAGACGCACAAGCAGAGAGTGGAGGTGAGCACCGATTCCACTCGTTTACCCCCCTTCAGCCGGTGTTTATCCACACGGAAGGTGTAGGCGGCTCACAGAAGCCGTTTGCCCTGCGAAACCCCTAAGTGGGGAGGCTGCGGGGCCCTGGCGCCATCCGGCGTTAATCAAATCATCAGCATTTCATCTTTTTTCTCCCGTTTTCTCACCTCTAGGACTTCAACAGACACTTGGACACCCTGACAGAGCATTACGACATTCCTAAAGTCAGCTGGACTAAGTGAAGGGGCTCCGCATCATTGCTTTGTAAATCCGTGTATTCCGGTGAACGTTTTAATATATCTTCTCAAAAGCCTATGGCCTTTCACTGTCTTATTTCACCGTTTTGTCTTTTACACAAAGTATTCAACAAAATCTCTGCTTGGCTGGTGGAAACTCTGATTTATACCGGTATTTATAAGAGCTCACAGCTAAAAACAGCTGATAGGAGACAGCTGGAAAACTCCCTTGCGAGTGTTCAATACAAACTGTTCTCCCTTCTGGAACTGAAGGATCTGGGACAGTGTCTCACTTAGTGTAAGCTTCACTTGTAAATTATAGGAACAATATTGTTTGCTTGTGTCTAAAGTTATTGGAGAGTTTGGGGCAGGGTCTGTTTTCTAAAATCCTCTTGTAATACACACGTAACTTCTCATTAAAATGTTTCTTTCATCCTTTTTTGTGCCCAGTTATCTGTAAAAGGAAGTAAGCAGATAAAACAGCTGTTTGCGTGTGTAGTTTTCCTCACAGTTTATCTCTGCATACAATTTGCACACTGTTTTGAGAAAAAAAAAAAAGTCCAAAAATGCCGACATCCCCCTCAAAAGCGATGGGGTTTGAGTGAAGGAGTTGGGCTGCCCAGCGTCTTCCAGGTCGCTAAGCCGCCTTCTTTGTGGGTCGCGGACCCGCATCCCGAGTCCGGGCCGCGGGCCCGATCCCAGGCGGGTCGGAACCGCCCGGGGGGACCTATTTAACGGGCGCGCGGCC